GCAGTGGAGGATGGCCCAGGTGCTTGGGCCCTGCACCCGCATGGGAGACCAGGAGGAAGCACCTGGCTCCTGGCTTCGAATCAGTACAGTGCACTGGCTGCAGCGCGTTGGCCGTAGTGGCCACTTTGGGGGTTAACCAACGGAAAAAGGAAGACCTTTCTCTCTGTCTCTCTCTCTCACTAACTCTGCCTGTCAAAAAAAAAAAAAAAAAAAAAAAAAAGAATCATAGGATAAGTCACCATCTGAAATGTTGCTTGTGCTGCAACGGTGACAATTCCAAAAGGTGTCCTTTTGGCATTTTAATATTACAGTCTGAAATTGGCACCAGCTATTGTGGTGTATTTAATTTAAAGATTACTATATATAAACCTGTGTTACAGTACAGACTAAGTACATTTTCTTGAGTCTAATGGGAATAATCTCCAAATGCAACTGGTGAAAGAGAAAGAGAACTCTTAAATAGTGCGATAAAAAATAAAGATGAAGAATTCAGTGGCAACACCTCAGGGAAGAATTAATTTAGCAAAGAAAACAATAAATGGATTGTACAATGTAAAAGCTTTAAACAAGCAATATCCTTTTGTAGTACCACATTAAACTTGACATTAAAATCATTTCACAAACCACTAATGAAAAGTAAGGTTGATAATGTGCTTAAAAATTAGCTAAAATATGCCTGTGCTGAAAGTAATTCACCAAAGGGTAAACAGTATTTCAGCAGAGAACATCTGAAAAACACCAAAAGGATTCACAATCCTTAATCATAAATATCTTATGGTATATTAGAAAGAACATCAATGCAAGGGGCTAAACTTTGGCTTCCAGTCTACTTTCTATCATGAACTAGGTGTGTGCTTATGAGTAATGCAAGTGTAACACTCTGAAGTTGCTTTACTCACTTATGTAAGACAGATTGGTCTAAGCTATGGGTCAGATAACTTAGGTCATTGGGCCAAATATGTTCCATGGCCTACTTTTGTTATAACCCTTAGACTAAGCCTCCTTTTTATATTTTAAAGTAAAATAAGAAGAATGAAGAAGGAAGAAAGAAGGAGGGAGAGAAGGAAAGATTATACAACAGACACTATATATATTATAGCATATAAATAATATGTAAATGTATATATACACACACATAAGTAATTTTTATTCCAAACCTAAGATATTAAGGATCTAGCTCTTGTATTAGCTAGCTTTTGGTTACTTTAATATAGCTGTCTTCTTAGGAATATAGCTTTCTTCTTAGGAAGAAAAGGGTTTATTTTTACTTACAGTTTGTAGGTCACAGCTCAGAATCGAGCCACCCCTAGTACATGTGGTGGAGGCAGCCAATGGGCAAAGTGGGTAGACGGGGAAGATTGCACACTGAGTCAGGAAGCAGAGGGAGAAGCTAGGTTGAACAGGCTTAATAAACAATCCTCCCAGGAGAACCACAGGGCAAGTCCCCTGTGGCCTAAAGCCTCTCACCAAGATCACCTGGCAGGTGCCATATTTAGATAAAGTCTCCACCCTTAATTCATTAGCCTCTAACATGCACACTTCAGAGTTTAAACGCCTGTATGTATTTGGGGATGCAAATTATGTTCATAAGAACTCTTAAAAAATTGTCTATATCAGTACTAATAGAAATGAGAATGTAATATGAGCCACCAGTGTCAGCCACACATGTAATATAAAATTCTCTAGAAACTACATTTTAAAGTCGAAAAGAAAAAAAAGATGGCTAGTTTTAGCAATGTCATTTATTTAACTCAATAAAGCCAACAATTTCAACATGTAATCATTTAAAAAATAATGGAGGCTTTGTAATTCTTTTGTGTGTGTGTGTGTGTGTGTGTATTAACTCTAGAAAATCTGGAGTGGATGTTATGCGTACAGTGCATTTCAATTTTAGACCTGACTCAATTTGAGTGCTCAGGACACAGTGTACCCAGCAGCTACAGGGAACTCCATAATGAACTCTGAGTTTTCTTTTATCTCTAAAGATTCATGATTCTATGGATGTAAATATTTCATAGTTACAAATAACCAGTAATTAGACATAAGTCATTTCTGCCTGGTTATCTGAGCCAGAGGCTTTTAATATTAGTCGTAAGTGGAAATGTTATTGCAGCACAGTTTGTTATTGAACACTAACCAGGTTTTCAATTCAGTTTTCAGCAGAGTGAAACTGAAGAGTTATGACTTTTTATTTCTCGGCCTCCATGTGCTCCTCAGAATTGCCAGGGCAGTGTTCCTTTCCTATTGGAAAAAGCTGAGCTAGCAATCTTTAACAATCTCAGGAGTCCTTTCTACCAGCTATATTTCAGGCACTAGTTTTTGGCCCTTCATTCTCTTTCCTACTCAGCCATATCTTGAAGTGGGTTTTTTTTGCCTCTCGTGACCGTATTCTTACCCCATGTCCAGTTCAGTTCATTTCTGATTTGTAGCTCTAACCTTGGACTCATTATGCTTTCACAGAAGCTGACTCCGTTCTCCTGCTCTTAAACTTGGGCTGTGCTGTCAGTATGCCGCGGTAGTGAGGAGGGCCGTCCTAACAGTCTACCCAGAACATACAGACCTCATCCTTTACACCTAAAGAGAATAACATTTTCATAACTGTGAAATCAGTCAGGAATTCACACCTCAGATGCTGACATTTTTTGCAGACATGAGCCATTTTTTCCCACTGCTACTCCCTGCAGTCCTGCACAACTGATGAAAAATCAAGTGAGAATTTGTGGAAATGGTAGAGATCATATATGCCAAAAAGTTTGTATTAATTTTTTTATTATGGCAGTATCAAATCACCACACACTTAGTGGCTTAAAGCAATATCAAGTTATTATTCTACATTTCCACAGATCGAAAGTCCAATAGAAGCCCCACAACTCAACTCAGCAAAGCTGTGCTCCTTTCTGGAGACTCCAAAGGAAAAGCACTTCCTTCAATTTCCAGCTTCTAGAGACTACCCACATTCCTTTCCCCTTGTTTCCTTCTTCCAACCTCAAGACAAAGAAACTGCATCTCTCTAATCATTCACCAATAATAATACATTGATCTGAGTCTATCCTCAGCCTGGAGAGATTATTTTTCATATCTAATGTGGCTACATTTTAGCCATACTGATAAACCAGAATAATCTCTATACTTTAAGGCCCTTAATCATAATTACATCTACAGAGTCTCTTTTCCCATATAAAGTAACATATTCACAAGTTTTGAGAATTAGAATTCTATATCAACAGTCAGGGTGAGGGCTGATCAAGTCACCGTTTCTCATAGTGTTCATTTCACTTTAACAGGTTTCCTTTTTGGTGCTCAGTTAGTTGTCACCTATCAAGGAGGACAAGTGGTATTTGTCCCTTTGGGATTGGCTTATTTCACTCAACATAATGTTTTCCAAATTCCTAACAGGGATCACTTTTCAGTTAAAATTTAAACACCTAAGAATAATTGTGTGTTAATTACAGAGTTCAACCAATGGTACTAGAACAAAAAAAAAATACTAAAATGGATAAAGTATTACATTGTACATCAACCGTCAGGACAAGAGCTGATCAAGTCACTGTTTCCCATAGTGTCCATTTCACTCCAACAAGTTTCCCCTTTGGTGCTCAGTTAGTTGTCGCCAATCAGGGAGAACATAGGATATTTGTCCCTTTGGGACTGGCTTAATTCACTCAGCATGATGTTTTCCAGATTCCTCCATCTTGTTGCAAATGACTGGGTTTCGTTGTTTTTGACTGCTGTATAGTATTCTATAGAGTACATATCCCATAATTTCTTTATCCAGTCTACTGTTGATGGGCATTTGGGTTGGTTCCAGGTCTTAGCTATTGTGAATTGAGCTGCAATAAACATTAAGGTGCAGACAGCTTTTTTGTTTGCCAATTTATGGACATAATTCACAATGCATATATTTTTCTTCCCATTGTACAGTTGTTTTTCAAAGTCCTAATCTCACAATGGAACTACAAGTTTTTGCTTTAGTCAGTTGATTGTTTTGATTGTAGTATTTTGCTGTAGACATCTAAAGGTTAGCTTGATTTATACATTTTGTTTTGGTTTATTTTGTCTTATGATTTTTAACAGTGTTCTCTAATTTTTTCAGCCTGAATTCCAAGTTAGGCAGAACAGATATAAGCATCATGTATTAGTATTTCACATAGCCCAAAGACAGGTTTAAGTAGACATAGTCAATAATTTGCCAATAAAGTCTGGTTTGCCCCCTCCAGAACCAGGGAAACAATTCATCTCTGGAAACATGGGCTGTTGCCACTTTTATCATCTTTCAAACTTTAAAACTGATGCCATGCTATGTGTCCTCACAATTTGGTTACAAAATCTTCCTAACACTTTTAATATAATGGCAATAATCATCCAATGTAAAATAATAAGTAAAATGAAAAGGAATTATATTAGAGGGTTATGTGAAAATAATTCATTTCCACCTTTTGTTAATATTTGATATCTTGTTAAACGTTCTTAAATTTATTTGAGAAGGAAAGAGACAGGAAATAGAGATAGACAAACAGAGAGACAGGGAGCTGCCATCCTCTGGTTCATTCTCCAAATGACCATAACAGCCAAGGCTGGCCTGGGGCTTAAACCGAGAGGTGGAAATGCACTCTAGGTCTCCTCATTGTGGGCAGGAATCCAATTACATGAACCATCACTGCTGCCTCCTACTGTCTGCATTGGTGGGAAGCTGGAGTTAGGAGTTAAAGCCAAGAATTCAACCCAAGCACTCTGCTGAGGTTCACATGAGGCTAAATACATGCTCCCTGTTCTTCATAACTTGGATAGTATTTTGTTTCTTGTCTGTGAGTCCATGTTGTATGAGAATTAGTTTCTGTTTGTATACTGAGTTATGAAGTTGGCTGATTTTCCCAAGGTTCACAAGATCTATTGGTTAAGAATTATATTTTAATTTTTTCAGTTTCTACCTTCTCTATCATGAACTTCACCTATGTATGGCACCAAGCAAACATAATGGGTGTAAAAGAAACATACTTATAAATAAACACATATATACACATATATGTGGGATATTAAATATAAAATACATAGATCTTTTCTATACATGCATTTGCTTTAGCAATTAATTGAACACGTACTAAGCCAATGAATTTTCTGTCCTCTTCTTTACCCAGTAATTGTACCTGAATGAATGAATACATGCATGATGATTATCAGCATCAGTTCTATCACAAACGTCATGATTCACACATGCACTTTTCAAATGATTGATTGATTTGAGAGAGAGAGAGAGCGAGAGAGAGAGAGAGATTGCTTTTCTAACCTCTGGTTCACTTCCCAAGTGGCCACAATGACCAGGGCTGAATCAGGTTAAAGCCAGGATCTAGGAGCTTCATCTAGGTCTCCCATTTGGGTGGTGGGGGCCCAAGAATTTTGGTCATCTTCTGTTACTTTTCCAACCCATTAGCAGGGAGATAGATCAGAAGAGAGGGAGGTAGATCCCAAACCAATACCCCCATGGATGCCAGTGTTGCAGGCAGCAGCTTTACCTGATAAGCCACGATACTGGTCCCACGTGCACACTTTTAAAATTTTTATCAGATATTAGTTCCTTCATTTGTTTATTTAATTGAATCTCATATTTGCTTTGCTTGACAAAAACATGTCTATCCTCCCTCCCCATGCATATGTAAGGAATACCAAGAGATCCTAGGCATAATCACAAAGAGATACACATATGTGCATTGAGATTAGCATTGTCTTAGGAAAGAAAGAAGAAAGCGTGAGGATTCTTATATCTTGATAGATTTAAAAGCACAAAAGGAATAAAATTTTCCTTTACTTAAAAACCATTCTATTAACATTTCCTTCAGACATGGTAGCAATTTCCTTTTATTGACAACTTTCTGAGAGCTGATACACCATTTTTTAATGATAAATACACTAATAAGCCAGTGTTTTCAGTAGAGGGAAATCAAAATGTTGAAAATTTTTAAGGATGAGTAAAAAGAAGGGAATAGTGTCTTCTATTAGTTTAGCCTATAGAAAAAATAGCCTAAAGGTGTTTTTTACTATTTTCCAGAATTTTTGTTTTATTTATTTGTATTTTTCCCTGTGTAGTCTTTTATTTCCCAAAAGTGAGGCACTTGTGTGGTCAGAAAATATTTAATCTTAAAATTACACTTTCTTCTCCATCCAACTTGTAAGCAAACTGAAAATATAAACCAGCTTGAGTACATTCTACTCTATATTGCAAAATAACTTTCATGGGTTATTTTATTTCTGTGTCTAATTTTTTATTATAAGTAAGTAATAATTTTCAACTTTAGATAAGGCAAGTTCATATAAAGCACAATATGTTCACTTTGAGGATGAATCTTGAGGACTATTATCTGCTTTTACAAATCACCAAACTTCTTCTCTATAAAAATAACTTTCTTCTCCGGGCTGACTTTGTGGCTTAGCAAGTAAAGCTGCCACTTGCGACGCTGCCCCAAATGGACACCAGTTCTAGATCAGGCTGCTCCACTTCCAATCCAGCTGCCTGCTAATGGTCTGAGAAATCAGCAGAAGATGGCCCAAGTGCCTGGGCCCCTGCCACCCACATGGGAGACCCAGAAGAAGCTCTTGGCTCCTGGCTTCAGCTACCCCAGGCAATTGCAACCACTGGGGAGTGAACAAGTGGATGGAAGACCTCTGTTTCTCCTTATCCTCATTTGTAGCACTGACTTTCAAAAAAAAAAAAAAAAACCTCCCTTCTCTAGTAAATATGAATTTTTTTTCTTGGCATAATTTTTCAAAAATAGTGAGAGAAATGATTTTTATCTGTATTCTAGTATTGTCCCATTTTTAGTAAAAATGACTAAATCCTATTTCATATTTCTTGTCAACTACTTAGGTTAAGCACACAACTAATGTTTACCTATTTCATGGTTCCAGTACCCACTCAATGTTTGCTCCATGTACACTTACTTCCAACTAAAACCAATTAGTTCTCTATGCGTGCCTGCGCACACTTAGAAGCAGCAGCATTTTCCTCAAATAGCTGAAATCCAATGTCTAAATTGTTGACCACTGTGAGAGTCACATTTGTAAATATCTGGCATAAACGATAAAATTGGCTTACATATATTGAAAGATTGCTACGAGGCAAATCATTGCTTTATTATTAACTTATCCCATAGGACTGATTTTAAAATAACCATGATTCTAGCAACATTTATTGAACACTTAGTATGTTTCAAGAACTCTACTCAGCACTTAATCTGTATTATCCCAGTTCAACTTCAGACAACACTATTATATGAAAAGCGTTAGCTCCAGTTTGTAAAAGAGAGTAGTTAGCCTATCTACAACATCGTAACTGGTAAGTTCCTGTGCTGATTTCCAAACCAGATCATCCTATATTAAAACTTATGTGTTTAATAAGATTGCAGAGTGAAAAGAGCCTCTGGAAGAGCCATCACTGGGGAGATAATTGCTTATGATCACTGCAGTTTAAAATGGTTTTAAATATCCCACCACTGAGAAACTCTTGGCCCCCTCCATATATGCCACAAGGGATATAAAACCATAAACTTCAGTTTCCTTTTTAAGTGATTGCCCAGCAAGTGGAAAGTCTTTTTAAGAAGTCATGAAGGGGAAATGAACGAGCTCAAAATCCCTCATCAGCTTCATGCAGAAAGCAAACTCTTTTGTACAAACGCATTGTGCTGTAAACAGTTCCATTATTGTCTGATCTCCCTTCCTAGCAGGTAAAATGTGACACAACAATAAATTTCTATTCACCATATAACTCCTGATGCTACAATAAATAGCATTGTTCAAATGCACAAGGCCAATTATTTTCCACTTTGTAACTGTTTGAGTAGCAACTGGACAGGAATAAGTGACTTGGTGTTTATTTTGCCCAAGGACAAAGTAGGAGCAATTTAAATCTTGATTGGTAAGCTTATATTCTAGAATTTTAGGCCAAGAAAAACCATTGAGATTAAATTGCCCATTCCCCTTAACTTGTTCATGAAGAAATCAGACTCAGAAAAGTTAAGTAGCTAATTCGTGAACACAAAACTGACAATTGAGTAATCTGGGAAAGGAATACAGAAGTCTTTTTTGTTTTTTAACATTTTGTTCTTTATTGAGTCTGACTTGAGGCACTGTTTTATATATTTAATTAAAATTGACTTATTGTTTATTCCTTCTCTAAATCTCAGCCATTATATTCCCATTGCTACAACCAAAATCTCCAGTCATCCTGGGTTTTGTTCTTTTTCACTAAACAAATCACTTATCTGTACTTTGAAGTTTGTGATTTATTTATTTACCTTTATATGTCTTTATTTATTGCTGTCTATTTTTAAAAACTAAAGGATCCTTAAAGCCAGAATATTTACCTACCTTTGTCAACTATTTCTAGTGGGGAGACTAATCATTTCTGTTTGCCTGTGTTCCGTCTCCTTGTGTGTAGGGTTCAGTGCTAACATTGGAAACATACCTTGGAAAACATGAATGAGTTGATTAATCTTAGGGAACCTTTACATATAGCTTTTTTTCAACTTTTACATTGCACCCTTTCGAGGAATATATTAGTATAAGAGTCATCATATCTGGAAAATGGCAGTGTCTTAATTTGTATAGAGCTATTCCTTGAACTAGGGTACTTCCAGTTATATACTCATCTTAAAGATTTATTTGTTTGTTTGGAAGGCAGAGTTACAGAGAAGCAGAGGCAAAGACAGATAGAGAGAGAGATCTTCTATCTGCTGGGTCATTCCCCAGATGTCTGCAATGGCCTGAACTGCGCCTATCTGAAGCCATGAGCCAGGAGCTTCTTTGGTGTCTCCCATGCAGGCACAGGGATTCAAGGTCTTGGGCCATCTTCTGCTTTCCCACGTCATAACAGAGAGCTGGATCAGAAGTGAAGCATCCAAGACCCTAATGGCACGGGTGCCGACATTGCAGGCAGTGGCTTTTCCTGCTACGCCACAGTGCCGGCCCCATATCCTCATTTTAAAGTTATGCTGAAGTTGCTCAATTAGCATCTGTAGCCTTACACAATTATTAAAATTGTAATTGGGTAGGCATTTGGCACAGTCACTGATTCACCATTTGTGATGCCCATATCTTATATCACAGTACCTTATTCAACTCTGGCTAGTCTGCTACTTATCCAGCTTCCTTTCAAAGTATACTCTGGGAGGCAGGTGATAATGGCTCAAGTATTTGGATCCCTGTCACCCATGTGGGAGACTAGGATTGAGTTCCTCATTCCTGGCTTACTGCAGGCATTTGTGAAGTGAACCAGTGGATGGAAATCTTACTATCTGTCTCATATTCTATTTCTCTGTAATTCAAATAAAACAGAAATAAATACATATTTTTTTAAAATTTATAACAACAAAGGAATAATGCTCAGTTCTGATTTCTGATGATAATTTGTATACCTATGCAGTATTACATAGTTTTTCAATCTCAAATTTGGGACTAAGTATTTCCCTGGACATGAATGAATTGTAAGGTTTTTAGCATTATTTAGATATGTATTTATGTATTATGAACACATATAGACAAATATATACATATATAACCTATACACTATACATATATATTTATATGCATTTATAATAAATTTATAATCATATGGGTGCTAAATACATGCATATGCAATGTCTTAAAGGGTACTTGTTATTTGATTGTTGGCTCAGGACTGTAAAATACCAGTTAGGAAGAGTACACCGAAAAAATAATCAACAAAAGTGTCTTGGTTTCAGGAAACATAGAGCAAATCCCTTCACTATAAGAATAGGATCCCCTAAAAATGGCTTTTAGATTAATCTCAACAGAGTGGCCATCACAATAATGAGGGAGGCTTGGCAGACCTGTGTTAAACTCCATTCTCCTGCTGTGACAAATAGCAAACCATATACTTAGAACCTGCTTGCATTGTTGAGCTGAAATTTGTCATGTCACTTCCTATACAGTCCCTGATTGTGTTTGTGGTATGGGACTGCTCTACAAAGTCTTCATAGAATTGCAGTTATCAGCTATTCACTGTTATCACAAACAACAAAATTACTGTTTTTTTTTTTTTTTTCAATCATCCACTTCCAATAGTTCTTTGAAGACCCTTCAATGACTGCTTAGTGTTTGGTAATTTTCTTTGGACCCCAACATTCACTTTGTCCATAGCCAGACTTCTTTATTCATTGTTATGAGGGAGGAATGCCTTTACAAAAGCCTGTTTAATATGTTTTTATAGAGGCTATTTGGTGGCTTTGTTAGTCCTTTCTCTTGATGTTTTGATCAAAATCACCCCAACACATTTATGATTGTATATTTTGCTTCAGTTTCTCCTGACTTGCATTTTGCTTCCTGTTCTCATGCTTAATCTATTTAGTTGCCACAATATTCTTAGTTAAGTTCACTTTCAAACATCCAAAATATTTTCCTGATATTTCAGTAAATGAATTTGAAGAAGGTACAAATTTTCAAGTTTACATAACTATATTCTTTCTAAAATGTTTATTTATTTATTGGAAAGGCAGAGTGACAGAGAGGAAGAGACAGAAAGAGAGAACTTCCTTCCCCTGGCTTACTTCCAGAATGGCCATAACAGACGACACTGGTTCAGACAAAAACCAGGAGCTAATAACTCCATCTGTGTTTCCCATGTGGGTGTCAGTGGCCCAAGCACTTGAGCCATCTTCTGCTACTTTCCCAGGTGCATAAGCTGGGACCTAGACTGGAATCAGAGCATCCAGGTCTCAAATCAGTGCTCTGAGATGCAACGCTGGGGTCGCAGGCCTCTGCTTAACCTGCTGCACCACAATGTCAGCCTCTATATAACTATGTTCTAAAAAGTTCAGAATTTGTCATAAGTCTCCATTAAAAGGAAAGTAAATTTTTTCCAAAGAAAAGTAGGTCTTATTATATAAATGAGAAAATAGAGAAAAAATTTTGTTATACTTTGGTTTTTATTATTTTTTCATATTCTATTCTTCATATTTTCTGAACATATTAATCATGTCTTAATATTTCCCCTGTATCTGAGCAATCTCCAAGCAGAAAAAATAAACCTCTCTATAAGAAGATAATACAGAATTTAACATTATGGCTATAGTTTTTCTACATAATACCTGCCATCTAATCACAAATTATCAGTCATAAATGGACTCTAAAGAAAGAGAAATTAAATACACAAGACAAACAGACTCTCAGAAGAATTAGAGATTGGAGTTAATAAGCACAATTCTAAAATAAAGGTAACTAGGATTCTTAAGAAAATGTGGAAGTAAAATGGCAAATTCTTGCAGAAAATTAAATAAATAACATATAATCAATTGTAGTATTAAAATTAAATTAATTGGAATGAAGAATGCAAAAATCAGAGAGGTGAAGTCTGGATTTTAAGATGGCAGACTAGAGAAGGGCATACTGTGCTAGGCTAGGGATAAATAGTTAAAAAAATGTGTGGGAAGTTCATTGTTAGGGAAAAGTTTGAGAGAAAACCACAGTGGAAATTCTACAGAAGGAAGAGGAACACTGTGGTTCTGGATGCAAGATGCAGATGTGTAGCACAAACTCGGACAGGACACACAACCAGCAGCCAAGAGCTGGAGACATGCTGGTTTTGGAGACTGAGGTGAGATCAGACTGCAGTAACCCATCCCACAGATGATAAAGCCAGAGGGGGAGCGAGGTGTGTCGGGCCTGGAGCCCTAAGCAGGAGGGGATACCTGCTGACCCAGTTGAATAAAAAAAGGGCCATGTTTCTCTTAGCCATCCATCCTACAATGGTGCTGGGGAACCGGCTGAGAGAGGGTGGGCACCATTTTGAGCATAAGCAGCAGCTGCAGAAGCCCTGGTGAGAGCATACAGCAACAGCCTGAGACCAGACGCCATCTTCTCAGCAGTACTGGTGGCAGCACCTCTGGTGCAGCTGGCCAGGAGAAGGTGACATTCAGCCAGAGGCTCTTGCATACGTGTGTGATCCGGAGATTCTAGCAGAAGGAGTAATCCACATTCCCCACTGACTTTGAGCCTGACTGGGAGGATTGACGGGGGCTGGGAAAACCCTTGTAGGTCTGTGAGGTGCCCCAGCTTCCCGACATACCAGAGGCTCTAAGGCTCCAGGGCAGTTTCACCTTAGCGAGCACCCACAGGCAGCTGGCTCTGGAACCAGTCTCTGCAGCCTGGACAGGCTAGTGTGACAGCGTGGGTCCGTTACACCCTGTGGCTGTGGGATCCTTGTGTGCTGAGACTGTGGGTACTCTGTGAGTGCAGGAGAGGGTGCAGGATATAGGTGGGTCTCTGGGCAATTACTGTTTGTAGCTTGACACACTTGGAACTCCCTGATTGCCGGAAGTGAGTCATTGCAGCAGAATCCATGCTCTCTGTGAGGACTATACAGATTCTTTGCTCAGTGCATACAGCAGCACAGATGGGTATTGCACACATATGTATTCCCTGATCTGCGGTAACTAATAGAGTATCTAAAATGTAATGTATTGGAGTGAAATGGACATTTTGAGATTTGATGATTGTTTACAGCCCTTGTCTCTACTATTAAGGAAGAGTGTTTTTTTTTTTTTTTTTTATTTCTTCAAAGGCAAAAAAAAAAGTTGCAAAAATAGAATCCAGGCTCAAAAGATTCATGGGAGTTTGGAGTTTCGGGATTCTTAAATGATCTTATATGTATATCCTTTCTCAAGCCTAACAACTCTCTTTCCTATGAGAAACCTGATTGTGGCAAAAAGGAAATATTTAGGCTTAGTAAATGTCTTCTTGCAATTTTTTAAAAGAATGATTTATTCATGTGAGAGGCAGAGCTATAGACAGAGAAAGAGAGAGAGAGAGATCTTCCATTCCCTGGCTTCCTCCCCAACTGGCCTTATTGGCCCCAGAGCTAGGCCAGTCCTCAGCCAGGAGCCATGAGACTCCTCCATGTTTCCCATGTGGATATAGAGACCTTAGCGCTTGGTTCATTCTCCACTGCTTTCCCAGGCCATCAGCAGAGAGCTGGATCAGAAGTGCAGCAGCCAGGACTCAAACTAGTGCCCATATGGATGTTGGTGCTACAGGCAAGGCTCAACCTGTTATGCCACAATGCTTACCCTTTAGTGCAACTTTTACACTTGCAAAATTGAGTTCCTTGCCTGACCTTCAGCTATTTAGAGTATGGACTGTAGATGGTGAGGGTCTCGTCTCTTTAAATGTTGTTAACAAGGCCTTACGAATTTTCACTTTGCTTTAAAATGTGGATTAATAAATCTAAGCTGATAATTTTCTTTTTTCAATCAATCAGCCATTCCAATACAATAGTCCTTATGAGTTTTCTCCATACTTCTCAATTGCTTCAGACTTTCACCAGCTAGTGAGTTTCATTCTACCTGTATCTCATGCTAGCTCACCACAGGTGGATGTATGAGCAGTCACACTGCAAAATCATGCTTGCAGCATTCAGTACCCCATATGGCACTAGTCATAATGTCCTTA